CCTCAATCGCTACATTGTTGACATTCGAAGGCTGACATCATCCCCCCGCCCCCCACCTTCCCCATTCACAAGTGCGTTACGCAAACCACGTAGCGCTCCGCCGCCTCAGCGGACAGCAGCTCTACGCACGGCAACAAGCGTAGCGCCGCTTCGCGCACCCCGGCGCCGCTTCGGGACCCTTGGCGCATGCGCATCTCCCCCCACGGGTTTGTCGGAGAGAGAATCGCGCCGGGTCCGCACGGCGTCTCGCGCGTGGCCGAACGGGACGCTGGGAGTTGTAGTTCCCGCTGACCCTGAGGAGGGGAGGGGCGGGGCGGTGAGATGAGCTCACGGGTTGTCCAAGAAGGACAAGGACAAGTTGTTGGCCTGTGCTCCCTTACTCACACACACACACACACCTTGGCCCACTCCACTCCCTCACCACACACACACCTCACCCACTCCCACACTGCCACACACACAGCCCCTCCCCACACCCTCCCCCACCCTCACACCACCCCACTCTCCTACCACACACACACACACACACACCCTACCCCACTCCCCCACCATCCACCTACCCACTCTGCTAGGATTCATGGAGCTGGGCCCATCAGGGCATGGAGCAGAGGCTCAAGCCAAAATGGTCTGGAGAACCGAGGATAGTGACCTAGGGCCACAGCATGACAAAGCTGCCATGGTGCTTTGCCAGGCCGGGCTCCGAATCTAGTCACCCCTGCATGAACACGATGAGAGGACGGTTCCCCGTGTCGATTCCAGGCTACCTGGTCTGTAGAAGGCAGGGGAGATATGCACCTTGTAGACTAATCAAAGTAGATCAATCTATCCATCTATTGATTTATCTATACCACAAGCTTTCATGAGCTGAAGCTTACTTCATCAGATGCGATGAAAGGACACACAGAAAACACCCTGACCTGACCATCCCCCTGAAAATCTCCTGACCAGATCACATTTCCAGACCCATATATCCCACTAGGATGGGTGGCCTCCCACCAGATCAGAAGAATGGGAAGAAGAGGTTACCTCCCATCAGATCAGAAGAATGGCTAAAAAAAGAGCCCAAAGAGCCTGAAAATAACATGAGAGATTGGGTTCTTTTGCCCTGTGTTCTGGGTTTGGAGATGTGCAAGCAAATATTTTCCAGTTTCCCCTCCCCGCCATCAACCTCAAAAAAAGTGAAGGCTGAGATTCTTGTGCAGTCACTTTGAGTCAAGCAGCAGGGGCTTTAAAAAAAATGCCATATACCATGAGATTTGGGATGAAATTCTGAGTTTATAAATACTAACATTAGAACAGGAGTAAACAGAATTTAGTATGCCTAATGTATGTAACCGTGAGAAAGGTAATTTGCCATGGTAGTCTGAAGTTAGATAGAAGGCAGGGCATATGGCACCATCTAAATTAGCTCATTCAGAGGCAGAAGCCTTTATATGAAAGCATCTCAGGAAGTAGGCTGTAGAAATGCTGTTCCTCTGAATGGGTTAGCCGATAAGGTGCTCCACCATATGTAACCACATTCAGGTGAGAAGAACATTTTAGATTAAAGGGATCCTGGTAAAGATGAAAGCAAGCAAGCAAATGATTCACACCAGGAGCTCTGAATGAGGTATTTAGCACTTGAGGGATTTAGCGAACTGGGATTTTTACATTTTACTAAAATGTAAAAGAAAATATTCCCAAGAGAATATACAATAAATGTTGGCTTGTTGCAGACAAAACTACAATTAGTACTTAACATTTCTGTATTTGTGAATGCTTTGGGGGTCTTATGTCAGATTGTTTATTTTCATTCTATAGGCTACAACTAGATCTGGACAGGTTACAGAGGTGGGCGGATGATAATAGGATGGGTTTCAACACGGACAAGTGCAAGGTACTGTACCTGGGGATGAAGAACCAGCAGCATACCTACAGGCTGGGGAACTCCCTTCTTGTCAGCACAGAGGTAGAAAAGGATCTTGGAGTCACTATTGATTCCAAGATGAGCATGGGCCGCCAGTGTGGGAACGTGGTCAGGAAGGCTAACCGCACCTTGTCATGCATCCATAGATGCATCACGAGCAAGTCCAAGGAGGTGATCCTCTCCCTCTATGTGACACTGGTCAGGCCGCAGTTGGAGTACTGCATCCAGTTCTGGCTGCCGCACTTCAGGAGGGATGTGGACAGCATTGAGAGGGTCCAGAGGAGGGCCACTCACATGATCAGGGGGCAGCAGGTTGGGCCCTATGAGAAGAGGCTACGGGACCTGAACCTGTTCAGCCTCCACAAAAGAAGGCTGAGAGGGGATCTGGTGGCCACCTATAAACTTGCCAAGGGAGACCAGCAGGCAATGGGAGAGTCCCTGCTCCCCCGAGTACTACCAGGGGTAACAAGGAACAACAACCATAAGTTGACTGAGAGTAGATTCAGGCTAGATATCAGAAGGCACTACTTCACAGTCAGGGCGGCTAGGATCTGGAACCAACTTCCAAGAGAAGTGGTGCTCACCCCTACCCTGGGGGTCTTCAAAAGGAGGCTAGACAGCCACGTAGCCGGGGTCATTTGAACCCAGCATCCTTTCCTGCCCAAGGCAGGGGGTTGGACTTGATGATCTGCTTAGGTCCCTTCCAACCCTGCCAACTATGAAACTATGAAACATTCTCTTATGTACTGTGATTTTACAGAATGTTATTTTCCATCTCATCCAACAGCTGTATATGGAGAGGAACTTCTGATGCCCCCTTCTGAGATTAGAGTTGCTGCATCTGATGGGCTGTATTTTCAAGCGTAATTAATGGCACTTCACACAAACATTATTAATACAATGTCAACATTTTACTCAGGATAGAGTACATAGTGTGATTTTTCTGGTATTGATTATCCAGTATTGTCAACTTTGTGAAGATATGCAGCTGCAGAAAATGAATGTAATCTGCCCCCAAATTTATGATTTTCTGTCTATTATTCAGGTAAAATATTGCTCATAGCTGTTTTTTTTGGCCCTGGTCATGAAAACATGTATGTGTACACACACCTTGTTTTAATCATATTACAAGTCTAATTCAATGCCATGAGTCTACTCAAGTATTCAGTTGTTTACAGCTGAGCTCAAGCTTCAGTCCACAGGCCAGATCCAGCCTACAGAACTATACTATCCAGCCCTCAGGGGCCCCAATGGGTCTCAGTCTCAAAATTTGATGGCAAGGGAGCAGTAGCAACAAGCATTTCTTTTCTGCTGCCAAGTTTCTGGGTCCAGGGGAGCCCTGCATGCTGGAGAGCATGCTAGATCAGTGTGGAGATGTGGCCTGGGCCCCAATCGAGCTGCATGGGAGTGAGGGAGGTGGAGTGGAGTCTGATCCTGGCACGTGGGTCATGATGTGGCCTGCAGACTGCCCCAGGCCATTTGTCCAGCCTTTGGCACCAAAAGGATGAGCAGCATTGGTTTACAGGACTAAGGGCTTAAAATGTTTGCCGCCATTGCTTTGCCTTCCAAAGGGATGCAAAAAGAATTAATTTTGATAGAACCGAGTGTCAAAAATAATATCGTTGTATTAGTCGCGCACTTTCAGAGAGCTTCTGAAAGCAAGCATTATGTTTCTTATATCATCAGTTTCACATGCATGTTCCATAGTAAACCTTGCAGAGTTTGGGGGAGACATTCCATGAGTGAATCAATGCTAAACTGAGGGTGATAACGTTAAGAAAGGAGACTGAGCGAGGAAAAAAAATACAGTCATGTTCTGTCCAAGTGGAAACCAAACTAAATAGCTTTATTGTACAAACCTCCCAAAACTCTGCTTATATCCTACACATCTTCAAAGAAATAATTCTTTACTAGCTAATGTTTTAAAATCAATGTAAAATAAACATAAAACTAAAAGTTCTCAGTCTGAGTTAAACTAGCTTTGTAATTAATTTAATCACATTTTAGTCAGTGGCAAAACCTCCACTGACGTCAATAAAAAAGGGATCATGCCTCCTCAGGGGAATATTCAGTGCATTGTGAAGAGAAGTGGAGGCCCACTGGGAGTTAGGCACCTAGGTGCTTGTGAAGATCCCACTAGGTACCTAGCTGCATCTTTAGGTGCCTAAATACCGTTAAAAATTTAGCCCTAGGGAACCAAGTACCAGAAACAGAAAATGATCTTTAAATTCTTTATGCACCATTCAGAAAGTGTTTACAGTGTTCACCAGTGAAAGTACTGGTTATACACTAACATTAACAATTTGAAAAAGATTTACCAACGACAACGATAAAAGACCAACGAGGAAAATATTACATGTAGCTGAATGAAAGGAGACTTTACAAAGAAAGAAATGTGCTATTTTTTATATTATCTATATTGTATTTTGATGGATGGCAACTGTAATGTTTTAAAGAGATATCATCATCAGAAAAGCTCTCCAAAATGGAAACATTTTCCCATAATAATAATAGTAACCCCTTAGATGAAAATAAACATGGAGCTTGTCAATCTATAAGTTGCATACTTTAGAGGAATAAGTCACCTAAAAATAAATGGCAACCACCAAACTAGCTTCACAAAATATATTTACAAAAGCAGAAAAATTAAAAGAAAGAAAAAAAACTTTTTAATAAAATATTTTATTATTTAAATCTGAAATAAGTCTTGATAAAGGTTTTTTGGCCTCTAGTTAACACATGACCTAACTTTATCTATGTCTTAATTAGGTAGTTTCCACACAGCCTCATGTTTTCATCCCTTTGGAGTAGTCTTTCTGGTTTAACTTGTGGCACCTGACCTACTTTTCACAATTTTC